GAAGCTGCTGAGCTCCTCATCCTTTTCAGTGACCTTTTAAAAAGGTCTCCTGCCCAATCGATTTCTCTATAACTACCATATTATGACCGAGTCCAGGGTCTGTTAAACGTTTTGGTATTGTCAGTTATGGAAACATTTGCACCAAGACTATTTTGCCACAGACACATAAATTCACTGTCTGTCCATATACTTACTTGGCTTTTAGAGTTTTAGTGGAAATAAAAATCTAGCCATTCGGGGGATAATTTTTTGCACAGAAGTTAGATGTTAAAAAAGAAAAATAACCTTCAGATTTTATTCCTTTGACTAAATGTGATGTGACACATATGGGTTAGTCAAAATGTTTAATGTTGCATGCAGTTTGAATGATAATTTCAGTTAATCTTCTGATGATTATGTGCTAGATAATTTGTTAACTTTGGGATATATTAACTTAAAGACACATTTTAAAACATATTCTAAATAACGTATTTTGATGTTTCAAATAGCATGGTAAAAAGATATCTTTTTTGTTATATCCGATAAAAGCGGATATGTGAGGGATTCCTCTAATCTCTCAGAGCATTTGACTCAGAGCTCTTCAAAATTCACAGCATACTGTTGACATATAAACATCCCTCTGGTGCCATATCCAGTCACGTGTCCTTCTAATGCTACCTCCGTTCAAATTCCCATAGGAAAGCTGCATGCTTTGTGAATACAAGTACTGAAAACAGCAGTAACACGAAAATAAAAACAACTCATCAGTGTCTCATATAATTAAACTAATTTCAGCAGGTAACAGGAAAGAAATCGTATCCTGCGAGACTGTTGAAAAGTGAGAATCCTGAGGAGATGTATGGCTGTGAATAATTTTGCTTTGTTAAGATGCAGTGAAATGAGGTGACAAAAGAGGGCCTTTGACAGAAAATCTACAGATTCCACTTCAGACAGAGGAAGAAAGCTCTGATAATCACTATACCTAAATCAAATTGGAAAGCCTATGCCAGTGACCTGTTTCAAGGAAGACCACAGTTCTATTTTGTGTCCCACTTATCACCACCCAATCTTCACAGCCAAGAAGTCTGGCACCTTCATTTCTGCCATTCCTCACTACCCACTTGGGGGTGCCTTACTTTTCACTTACAAGGAACAGACAACTCTTACAAAGTTCTTTCTATAGAGTACCTTTTGATGTAAAGGATTCCATAAAGCTGTTTTCGTTTTAAGTAGAATTCTATTTGTCCTTTAAAACAGCTCTTAGAGGTTGTTATTTTTAACAGATGACCAAGGAAATTTAAATGGAAAACTCTTTGAATATGATGTACCTGGCATTTGCTGAGCTTAAAACTAACCACTGCTGACTCAACATGCTTCAAATTTTTATCATTTTCTGATGAGGTTAATGACCAATATAGTGGCAGAATGAAGACCAGAGTCTATAAAACTAAAGAGCCAGTGAAGCTTTCAGTGAAATTTCTCCTGACTCCCCAGGCACTTTCTCCGTACGCAGATCCATGGCTTCCTGGAGATACAGTATATGGCGCAGTGTATAAAGACATTTCCATCACAATGAAAAACCCACAGGTATCATAGACTATATGCCTATAACTAAATTACTCTGCTTTTTCTTTTTAAACAATGATTGCATAATATCCTGAGTTTCCTGTATTTGCTTAACTTTCTATGCAATATTATCTGTCATTTTCTTATAGAAGGATGATAAGCTTAACATATTTGTTTGGTGGTTAGAGGTGTTCTGTTTAACATAAATTTAGGACTCTGGAAAAAGGACTGAAATAATCCCCTCAGATTTTGTATTTTGTTTTTCCTTTGATTTTATAAGGCTACACTTGAGTTGCTACACTGACATTTAATTTTACATGGACACTCATAGCAGACTTTTATCTGGACTCATGCCACCAGCCTGCATTCATCTAATCACCAAGCCACTTCATTGTGTGGAAACAAGATTTACAGTATTTTTTTATTCTATCCTATTGCATCAAATTCTCTTTGTTATAGCAAAAAATCCAGAAAACTTCTTTCTCTTAAGATCTAGATTACTTGCTTCAAAAGATGACAGACAATACAATCAACCATGTGATGTAAACTAGTAGAAAATCTAACAGTAGAAAGGCACTAAAAGACAAGCCTCCTATAGGAGGCCTCCTGTCCTAGTGTTCCAGCTATTTTTCCATTCCAGTGCTATGCTACAAAGATAAATTGCTGATAAATATTATGTTCAATGTTATTTGACAAGATATGATGGTATATTAAAGCTAAATGTAAAAAAAGAGTTTGTTACTCAGTTTCACTACAGCACCTGATTTTGTCAGTCTTGTTACCTTTTTCCAGCTCAACTTTTGTGACACGTACACATAAGAACCACTTAAAAGAAATGTAGCGTTTGACTTCATGGTATTTTTCTATTTTTTTTCCCCTGCTGCAGGTAATGACACCAGAATAGTGTTATTTGGCTTGTTACTCTTGAACTCAGCCTTTGATAGTTCTTCATGTCAAGCTGTCATCAACAGAGATGCTTAGCAAAAACTTCTCATGAAAAACCACTCTAATCCCTATGTCTTCCAAGTCTATTTTATTTACTGTGAACCAGTATGACATCCACTCTAAGCCCTTGGACTTCCGAGCAGTAAGTAGATGTCAAAAAAGGAATAGCAATGTGGATTACACTATTACATTCCAGTTCACTGAGTTCATCAACAAGAGAGATGATGAAAGCTTAACAGACAGATCAGGAAATTCATAAGTTTGGCACTGATTACATCCAGTAAGCAAAGCTGTTCTTGATGAGAACAGATATAATTCAGAGCATTTCTTCCTGTTCCTAGAAGATGAACATACCTAATGCATTTTTTCACATATTCAGTTCTTTACCAGGAAGACACATTGGCTTTGATGTCTGAAAAAAATAGCTGCTTTACACCATTGAGAGGAAAATGTTATGGCTTCCATAGTCACTTCCAATGCAGAAGAACAGATATTTATTAATATAATGCATTTAACAGTGATTTGGCAAACACTGAAATGCATAGGAAAGAAAAAGAACAGCACTGTAACCCCTGTAATTTTCCTGCTTGTCCTTAGGAGAATCTTTTCATTGTGTTTCTTTGTCATTCCAAGAGCAGTCACTCCACCTATTCCCTTGCACTTTTGATTTATTTTAACAAATACATGAAAACCTCAGCAGTTAGCCATCATAGCAATCGCTTTAAAAAAATAATCAATAAACCCACTAAGAAACTATGAGGACAGAATGGACAATCTAATGCCTTATCAGAAAACTCTTCAAAGATTGTAATACTTGGTCACCTCAAATCGCAGTCATGCCTTCTCTACCCAAATTTTGTAATATACTCTAAATGAGAGAAATAAAAGTTATGGTTACACTGTCTGGGGAAAGAGAAATCATGCCAGGTCTCAGAAAAAACACATCAAAACTACACCCTAAAAATAGTTCCTCCTCTTGTTCATCACAAATTCCAGCATAGACGCAGGTATTGATAAAAACCTATAGCCACATGGATTGAAGCAGAAAGATCTTTGACAGACGGATTCTATAATCTTCAGGACTTTATAGGCCAGACAAAGCACATCAAACTCCACTTATGGTGGCAGCCAGCAAATACCAGACTACCCAACAGAAGTCCTGCTCATGCGAGAAAATATACTGTGTATTTCAGAGGAGCATGCTCACGGGGCAGCAAAGCTTCCTGGCACTTCTGTTCTGGGATCTGAAAAAAGAGAGTCATTCAAGGACAGCCTTCCTCTCCCCAGCAATTAGAAGTGTGCCAGTACAACATACTGAATACGGAAGGTATTGATGGACAACACCACGATTAACTTCCAGTCTTTTTCCAGCTTGTGGGAGGAAGGAAAATACGCGGCCAAGGCCACAAGTGCAACATCTGTGCCAAACCAAGGTCAGAACGCCGACGCAATTGAAAGGCGTCAGCAGCATCGCAGCATCGTGGGATTCCGCTCACCACCACATCTTTCACAGTGTTAATCAGGAAGAGAAAAGCCGGATGTTGGTCGATAACTCAGACCTTTTGGTCATTAAGTAGTGGCTTTCCGGGCAAAGACACTGCCTGCAACAATTACAATCATTCTTTCACTGGGAGTCACAGATGCTCTCCACCAAACAGACTTTATCAGCAAAGACTAGAAACCAAAATTATTTCAGAGCCTTTTAAAGGCTCTTTTAAGGGGGTCATTAGATCATGTACTCTGACTTGTGTTACGTAGGCCATAGATGTTTACTCCTAGCTATTCTATTGAAATCCCAAAATCTATGTTTAGCAACTCCTCTTAAAATAGAAAAATAAAAAATTGAGCCATGGCTGAACAACTTCAAAACCCTTGGTAAAGGTTTTTTAGTAGTTTAACACTTTGTGCCTTTAATAAATTTAACCTCTTGCTAATTTATTTATCTATAAACCTCAGCCCTTGGTTCTTTCTGAAGGCACAATACACTGAAACCATACCAAAACCAGTTCTGCTACATCACTACAAGGTTTCAAACACAGATGCAATAATAAAAATCCAACAGTTACAGTATGGGTGACTAGTATTTGAAAGTAACTAGCTTTGCACTCAGCAGCCTGTATCAGAATATATGGCTAATGTTCAATCTCTTCCTTCTTGAAGTAGCAGATAAAACCAATGCTATTTAAACCGTCTTGCTTCAGCTTCCTGTTCCTGTAGGTTGTTTTTTTTTCTTTGAAAGGCTTCACTGGTTAAGTCTTCCCCCTTCTTCCCAGTGCTCTACAACACTGATTTACAGTTTTACAGTGGTTTGGTATAAATTCTTTCCTTCAAGCACAAGTTTCTTCTAAACATGCACCCTATCCAACCCATCCTCCTACACAGACTTAACTAAATCTCTGATCTTTTAATTTGTAGATCACGTAGTTTGATGTGCAACCTTCTGTGAGATCTCAATTTTAGCTGAATAGACAATAGTCTTATAAACATTCTTATTAAAAGTGGATACTGACCTTGAGGTGAGGCTGAAGGAAGCAGCAAATCCAGGGAGGAGATGCGAAGGAAAAAGAGTTAGAGTGTGTGAAAACAGTGTCCAGAGATAAGGCAGTTCAAGAATATAGGACAAAACAAGCAGATTAAATCAGATAGAGACACACAGACACACAATCCTTCACAAACACAAAGAGCTGCATGTTTTATAGACATCTAATAAAAAAAAAAGAAGAATAAAAAAGGCCATTTATATTAGATTACACCATTTCAATTAGAGGCAACTTTCTGTACAGAAAATAGTCTCTAACACATAACAGTTCTTGGGAAAGGGGAATAAGCCAACCATAGAAAACTCTGGATTTAAATCATATAATTAGCAAGTATCCTCCTTCAAGAATTCTAGCAAATATTTTGAAAATGTGGATTTTGACTACTGAGATGAACTCTAAAGTCCTCCTTTATGCCATCTGCTAGGCATGTTCGTTTTTTATAGATGGCCCCTACCCATCTGTTAGGGGTTTATTTTCTCTGTATAAGCAAGGCACGCATTTTTTTCCATGTTTCCTGTAAGTGACCCAAACTTGTCAAAAGGGAATAGAAGAGAGAAATACCCCAACCATGGAGTAGAGTCTTCAAGACCTGAAGACTGTCAATGCTAAAAGTTCATCTTTCTTAATTCTGACATTGAAAGGACCCTTCCAAAAAAACCACACAAAAAAAGCATCAGTCTCTTCTTCCTGCAATGTTGCTGTCTTAATTCTTCCATATAAGGTGCAATCTAAAACCAATAATGACCACAAGGGCATATCTTTGACAGTTCTCTCCAACACTGTTCAACAGCAGGACTGATGAAGACAAAATGCTGGAGTTCCCTGTAGAGCATGAAGTCCCATAGGTTCATTATTGCTTTTTTTTTTTTTCAAATATCTCCAATACCTTTTCATAGGCATCTGCTGTCAATTTCACTGATAACAGCAATGTAAGTCAACAAGAGATCTTTTTCATCTACTTTTAAACTTTATTCCTTTTCAGTCAATAGAAGAGAGGAAAAATAAATGTCCTGCTGCCCAAAGTGGCAATTTGGCTTCTACAACATATGTTGTATTTCTCCCATGGCAAAAAAGGCAGGATATGGTCTGGAGAAAAGAATTTCTATAGGACAGGCTGACTGCTATATGCTTTAATACTCTTGGTGTATGGAACCATGTAAATGAAATTTGAAGTCCTTACTTCTGGCACCAGTTTTACAAACAACAATGTAGGATACTGAATTTGGACAAGCAGCAGTTTCAGAGTGAGGTACAGCTGAGGTATTGTTGGTCTGTAACAGATAAACTAGTGTAAAGATACTTTTCTTTGGCTTTCAAACTAACATTCTTCAAATCAAGTTCTTCAAGGACAGCTGTTGGGATGTCTGTGTTATTTGGAGATTTCGGGAAAGATGAGACTTGAAAATGCCAAACACTGCATTTCGGTGTTTTATGTTGAATTTTCCAAAAGCCTCAGTTAATTAATATAGAAAAGCATATAACTAACAATTCTGACCGAAATCCAAGAGTATGCTCTCTAGACTGAGTTGCCGAACTATGACTGGGCAAGCAAATTTAACATACAGGAACAAAAATGTGAAAATAAACACTTGGTTAGATACAGCAATAAATAAGATAAGGGGAAAAAAGCTTGTTTGTTTTATGACTGCTACTGAATCCAGATTTTGAAAGTTTAGGACTTCTCATTTTGTGTTTCAGGGACTCTTTGTAGCTCCTGGTTCTATTGTAATGGGATTGGGATACTGTTTCTTCAATTTAACAGTGGAAAAAAAAATACAGGGTAGAATTCAGGATAGCCTTGTAGAATTTGAATGAACTGTACTGTTCTTTCAACTGCTATTAAATGCGGCATCTTTTGCTGGCACAAGATGAAGGCAAAGCAGTACCTGAAACTCTATGCCGAGGTCACCTGCAATTTTATGTAACTAAGTATTAATTAGCCAGCTGCACAGAATTTGAATGTAGAATGGTTACTGCTACATGTTCATTTTGTTATGAAATAAATTTTTTCTTCCAATAAAGAAAACACTTTGTGTAAACGCTAGCCCCTTTTTCCATGTTTTATTAAAAGGGTTCAGAATATTTTTTAAAAATGTGGATTTTTAGAATAATCACATTTATCCAAACAAAAATGAGGAATATGTCTGAAAGCACGTTAAAAATAGAAACTCTGGAACTGTGCTAGCACTTGAACTAAAACCAAGGCAGACACCTGAAATTGCCAGCTATTAGGAAGTCAATGGAGATCTGCTACAGGCTGGAGGTGAAGCCTCAGTGCACAGGGCTACATCAGTGAAATTGAGCAGAGGAGAGCAGCAAGCACCTGTCCCAGGAAGCAGCCCCAAGCAAGCACGACCCGATACATACCAAGACATGCTCATTACAGAGCAAAATAATAATTCTTAGTTTGCTCTATTTCCCTTCGAGCAAGAACATACACTTGCCAGCATTCCTTACAAGATCCAGCAGCAGTGCTTCTGCCCAGCCCCATTAACTGTGTACTCCGATGCAACAGTCACACAGGGAGACAATACAGTTGTAACACCAAACGGTACATTTTCTTTTAAAACACCATCCCATTAATTTTAAAGATACAGCTGACTTAAACTGACTGCTGAGTGCAGATCAAAAAAGCTGGTGAGACGTGAACACTTCAGTATTTTAATTAAGAAAATATATAGAGATATTTTAAAAGCTGTTGATTATTCCACCTATAATTTTTTCCACATGCTTGTATATTATAAGGAGTGAAACGAGTCTGCTGCGTTAGTCTCAGATGTATTTAGGAAGATGCTAGTGTAATGATTTCTAGTTAACCTTCGAATTCCACTTGTTTGGCAGTGAGTGATTGCGTATATTTAGTAGTTTGTTGTTCTGTCAAAGTAGTCTGACAGGGAATAGTATACACTTGATCTTCCCCCTGTGTCAGTCAAAGCAGAAAGGCTATTTATGTTTACCACTTTTGACACCGTTTCTTGGTGAAAAGAATGACGGCTGGTCTTTTCCTTTCTTTTTAGTTGATATTTAGAGGGATGGGGAAGAGGTGGAGAGACAGAGAGGGAAGGTTTGTGTGTACATCCATGCACACATGCATGCACAAGTCTAAGGCCACAAACCTAACCACAGATGGCCATGGAGCACTAGTGTTGCTATTTCACTGGCCGACTGGCCATTACTGGATTTTCCCTTTGTTCTTACTGTACTTCAATGTAAGGATCTGTCACTTCTGTTTGTCTGTATCAGTCACATAAAAGGGGGTTTTTGGTCATAACTGAAACAAAACTACAAGGGATGTAGTCAAGGCGGGTAACAATGAAACTAGGCTAATTATTTCTATAATTTTCTTTCTCCTCTGGTTTTTTTTTCAATTACTTTAAATATATCATAGCTCTTACACTCTACCCATCTAGCAGCTGGATTGGGAGATTCCTGCTAAATAAAACTCAGCATTGCTACAATGCAGGCAGAGTATAAATCATCAAATGACAACTCCTATATTCACTACAGATAACAGACTTAGACATGAGAGGGAATGCTCGATAACCCCCTTGATTTAATGATAAAAACAAACAGGACTAAGACTACAGGAAATTTGGCAGGAAAAGCAGCCTTCAGAATTTCCCAATCAGTGCTTCTCAATGCTCCTGAGTATTCTCTAGTGTAAAGTCCTTTTCAGAGGATCCAAGATCAGATCCTTGGTCTTGGAATAGTAGCCAAACCAATGTTTTCAGATCATTGCTGAATTTAACAAAGGAGACCTTCTGTACTAAGATCTATAGAGACAAATCACTCTGCTTAATAGCATCAGTCCTGCCTGCTTGAACATGGAAATAATCCTAGCGAAAGTACCAGGCTTGGGTGGTTCAATGATGGGATAACACAGAAAGTTCATTCAGCCAAAGCCTGCACCAGCCTTGACCTCTCACCATGTCAAGGGCTGGACTAATCAGGCTTCTTTTGACCTCATCTTTTAAAACAGCTGTTTCTGCAATATCACAAAGTTTCAGTTTCTCCCAAAACACAGGAAACAGGAGAGAATGGGAAATAAAGGACAGCTAAATAAAGAACAAATGGAAAAAGGATATCCCATTATACGAAAAAGGTGAGGATGGATTGAGGAGTCACCGTAAAATCACTATGATGGCTTTTCTATCTGGTGCTCTCCACAGATGGATTTGCAATTATTGGCAGTGTCTCTCTTTTCTTTTCTTAGATGTAGGTTTCACGAGCGATTAGTGAGTTTGAGTGCTGATCTTAAGGCACTTTAACAGAGGTTGACTGTCAGAAGGCAGACACGTGCTGTCTGAAATTCGGCACACTTTCAAATGTCTGAAGCGAAATACCTGTGAGTAAAGGTGCCTGCATCTTACAATCTTATCTGCTTTGAGCAGTTATATTGATATAAAATGCATTATTTTTTTCTCTGTGATACCTGACGTGGGACTTCAGGCCTAATGTATATTTTGCGTGAAAAGAATGCAAGACTAAGAAGAAATTTCTTCATTTCCTAGCCTGGAAATATGTGAATCTTAATATTCAATAGATCTGTGTGCTCAGGGGTGGAGCTGGACTAACTACAGGCCTTACCACTTTTTTCCATTACAAAACCTTGTACTCAGTTACTTGCCAAATATTAACAAATTGTGCTGAAATTTTCCATAACAGGTGTCAGCCTCACCCTGGATTTTTTGGGGACAATTTCAGCTATATCCTTCACACATCAAAGGCAGCATTCTTGTGGAAAAAAAATGTTCATATGGTTTAAGAATGTATCATTTTACTGTAGGGTACATAGGCTCACATAAGAGGTGAATTAAAATTACATGGCAATCTTAATTTTGGAACGTCCTAAATTTTAAGTGATTAACCTTAGAATTTTAATATTTGCTTTAGCTATGGATTTTTGAGGGAAATGGATGAGAAACACAGCAACAAATTCTGCCTTGTAACGATATCAAGCAACCATGAGATAAATATATTCA